GTGATTTGCATAATGAGATAGCGGTGGCCAATCAGAGCGGGAGTTGGCTGAGCTGGGGCGGAGGGCGGGAGGGGTGGCTGGGCTCACGCGCTCCAGTTCTCCATGGCAACCGGACCCTCAGTTGCCCTGTATGTGGAGGGTGTGCGGGCGTGGCAGTGGATGGGAAGTAGCTTCGTCATGCGTGGCGATATCTGCGGGAGTCGGAGACGATCCCTTCTTGCACACCTCCAACAGCGAGACCGTTTTCTGTGGGGCAGATGAGGCTTCCACCTCTGTATCCCTACTACCGAAGCCAGTCCCGCGAAACCCATCCTGCCGGGGTCTATCACACACCTCTTTCGTATCTTCAACCACTTCCTTGCTCCTGAGCCTCAAACAGATTCTCGTCTCTTGCAACCTTAAACAAGCCCCCAAGCACTGATTTCTTCCTCAGGAGAGCGAGAGAACTTATGTAGCCATATTTACTCAGCGCTCGTGCCTGGTTCCTCCCTATTCTTTCACTTAGGAGTGTTATATCCTTTTCCTGAAAAGGATGCTGTGTGGATCAAAGAAGTTAGGCGTAGGTGCCCCTGGCATTTGCAGAGCCGAGGGCAAAAGAAGAAACGGAAATTGATACATCGAGTGTGTTAGTATCTAAAAGCTAACTGTCAAATCACAATGCTAAAGTGTTTATTTCCTTTCTCACAAGCGCACAATCACAGATGAAGGAACGGCGAGGTAGCCAAGCATGTATAGGCTCTTAATGAACAAGCTGGATAACCTGAGTTGGATACCCAGAACCCACATGGAAAAGCCAGATACAGAGCTTCCCTCCCATCAGTAATCCCAGCCAGCTCTTCTGTGGCAAGATGGGAGGAGGAAACTAGAATCACGAGGGCCAGGTAGCAGGGGGACAGAAACAAGAGAGATCCTCAACAACATGAAATGAGAGAACCCATTCCTGAAAGTTGTCTTCTCATCTTAACAAGCATGCCCCCACACGTTTGTTCTCTTGCATACACAGTGAACTTGTAAACGTTTTTATTATTATGTGTATGAGAGTTTTGGTAGCATGCATGTAAGTATGTGCAGCACGTGTGTGCCTGGTGCTTGTTGAGGCCGGGAGAAGGTGTCAGATTCGCTGGAACTGGAATTATGGACTGGTATACGCCTACCTGTGGGTGCTTGGAATGGAACCCGGGTCCTTTACAAGAGCATCCAGTAATCTAAGTGCTGAGCCATCTTTCCAGCTCCATGTTATTGTTTTTGACTGGGTCTCATGTCGTTCAGGATGGCTACTAACTCATTATCCAGTGGAGTAGGACCTTGAACTCCTGAGCTTCCTGCCTTCACAGGAAGCCTCTGAGGTCACACAGGCATTCACTCTTATACTGGCTTAATTTAGTGTACAGATCACATGTTTAGTAGTTTGTTTGGAGTACATCTGCTTTTCAAAATATGTTTTCTTGTTGGTGGAACTCCTCCTCCTCCTCCTCCTCCTCCTCCTGCTCCTCTTCTTCTTCTTCTTTTTTCTTCTCCTTTTCCACCTCCTCCTCCTTCTTCTCCTCCTCCTCCTCCTCTTCCTCCTCCTCCTCCTCCTCCTCCTCCTCCTCCTCCTCCTTCTTTTACAGGATCTTGTTATGTAGTCCAGGCTAGCCTCAAACTTGTGGTACTCTCCTGCTGCAATCATCCCAGTGCTGGGAGTGCAGGCATGTACTACCATGCCCAGCCCAGAACTGATCCTTGTGAGGGGGCAAGCCCCTATCCAGTGAGGTGTACTTCCCTGCACCATAGGTACATTTAAAGCAGGTAGGTTTAAAAGTGCATGTAATTGGGTCTTTTTAATTTAAAAATGTTTTATTTGTCCTGTGACATATTGAAAATTAAGTATTGTCAATGCTCCACATAGTTCTCCTTTGATATCATGTTATCTACTTTTCCTCCTTTTCTATATAAACGTTAGAGTCAGCTTGTCAATATTCATTGTGCTAGTTCGCTTTCTGTTACCAAGATGAACACCATGATCCAAAACAACTTCAGAAGAAAATGGTTTATTTCAATTTACATTTCCTAGGTCACAATCCAACCATCACTGAAGGAAGTCAGAGCAAGAACCCTGGGAGAATACTGTTTACTGGCTTGATCCCATTGCTTAATTAGCAAGATTCCCCCCTCCCCCACCACCCACACACACACACACACACACACACACACACACACACACACACACACAGGGTTTCTCTGTGTAGCCCTGGCTATCCTGGCACTCACTCTGTAGATCAGGCTGGACTCTAACTCACCGAGATCCCCCTACTTCTGCCTCCCAAGTGCTGGCATTAAAGGTGTGGGCCACCAATGCCTGGCATGCTAAGCTTTTTATGCAGCCCGCACCTTCTTAAGAAGATGCCTCCTACAAAGGGCTGGATCCTCCCGCTTCACAGAAATGGCCAGAGACCAATCTGATGTCAGGAATTCAAGTTAGGTTATCTCTTCCGAGGTGACTCTAGCTTTGTGTGAAGTTGACAATCACTAAACCCATAAAATAGCTTCCTGGAACTCTGATATAGACCACATTGGGAGAAAAAGAATGAAACAAAACTGATATTGAGGTTTTTAGAGGAGATGGCTTAGGGGACAAAGGCACTCGCCACCAAGTCGGACTATCTGAATTCAATGCCTAGAACCCACATGGTGGAGGGAGAGAACCAACTCCCACAGTTGTCCTCTGCCTTCCACACACATGCAATGTGGCACATACACATACTTGCCTGAGAGTATGCACAGACACACAGTCACACACACACACACACACACACACACACACACACACACACACACACCACACAATGTTTAAAAATGTTATTTTAACAATATTGATTCTTCCTATTCACAAACATGAGAAATCTCCATTTATTTGCCTCGTTTTTTTTCATTTCTTCATTCAAGAGTGTTGGGTATATTTTTCTTCCTTAAATATGCCATATCATTCTAGTCCTCGTTTCTCTGTAGTTGGATGGGATATTTCCTCTGACTTGTCTCCTGACCCCAACTCTCCATGTTTTAGCTTTCTGCAGTTTGAATATGATATGCTTAGATGAGGGTTTTTGCTGCTGGACCCTTGTTGAGATTCCTGAAACTTCGATTTGTTGTCTGCCACTAATTTTGGGAAATTCTTTATCATTATTACCTCATTAATATTCGCCTTATGTGCCTGGATGCTTCTGATTATGTGATAGGCATTGTGCTAGAAAAATATTTTTAGAAATAATTGGAGGTTGGGGGAGGTTAGTATTTTCTTCTCCAGAATGAACTTACATTTGTTTCTGGAAGGCATCCAGAATCTCTATCAGTTTGAAATAATCAAACTAATTTTAGTGATTAAGATGACTGAAAGCTGAGCTGTACACTCCAGAGCAATTGATCTATTTCCAACTCTTTAGTTGGGACTCCTGAGTAGAAAGATTCATGGAAACTGGTGATAGGGTGTGTGTGTGTGTGTGTGTGTGTGTGTGTGTGTGTGTGTGTGTGGTGTGCACTCATATGTGTGTGTATGTGTGTGTGTGTGTGGTGTGCACTTCTATGTGTATGCAGGCATGTACACCCCTGTATGTGCACACAAAGGCTAACGAAGGTGTCATGTGTCCTGCTCTCTCCTTAGTATCTTAAGACAGGTTTTTCACTGATTCTGGCACTACACTGGCAGCAGGAAAGCCCAGTGATTCCCTTGGCTCTGCCTTTTTCCACAGTACTAAGGTTATAGCCATATGTATGACCATGGCTAGCTGTTAAAACAATCATAGGTGCTGGGTATTCAAACTCAGGTCCTCATGTTTTGTACAGCAAGCACTTCTATCCACTGATATACCCTCCCAGCTCCAGAGAATTTTTATGAGCCTTAGACCACAACTTTTAATTCCCATCCCCATGACATTTTCTAATGTGTTTTCCAGAAAATGCTTATCCAGAATTGGCAGTTGTGCCCAGGTGGAAACATTGTCCCAAATGCTAGGCTTTCAATGTGGATCTTAGTCTTTCTCAGATCTCATCTGAGTTATTTCTCACAGTGTTTCATCACTCTAGTGTTTTCAAGCCTTTCCAATCATCTCCAGGGGCAAACCTATTCCCAGTCACCTACTCTATCATGATGAGAGATAATAGGCTTATACATATATTTTTAATTTTAAAATTTTATCTAAAAATTTTTATGCTTATAGGTGTTTTGCCTGCATGAATGTCTGTGCATTAAAAGTGTGTCTGGTGTCTTTGGAAACCAGAAGAGGTCTTTGGATCCCCTGAGACTGGAGTTAGAGACAATTGTTAGCACCATGTGAATGCTGGGAATTGAATCCAGAACCTCTGGAAGAGCAGCCAGTGCTTTTAACCTCTAAGCTATTTCCCCAACCCCAAGGCTTAAGTTTTGAAAGTTGTTTACATTTTAAATCATGGAATAAGTTCTGTGTGTGTGTGTGTGTGTGTGTGTGTGTGTGTGTGTGTGTGTGTGTGTCTATCTATATCTTCCTCAATTTTCCTCAAATTTCTAGAGGTTCAAGTTGTTTGAATCAGCTATTAGCACAGAGTTGAGGTGGTTTGAGATTTTTTT